GGTGTCCGACAATATTGTATTCGCTAGTTTCTTACATGACATAATATGTCTGTCTACAATAGTGTTAACCAGTTGGTTTAACGATATCCCACTTGCCCTACTAACGGCTTTTAGTGCCTGCCCTTCTCAGCAAAGCAAAGTCTTTCTTAAGTAGTCCAGGAAAGACTAATGGGGAGCAGTAAACGGGGATGGGTAGAATACAAGAATTGACAAACTGAGAAAGCAAAGACTGCTTTATGCCAGACTGCCTAAATTTCCTAATGTAGATAGAACGTTAAGCGAAACATCTTTCTAGTAACTAGCAAGATGTGGGAGGACCAGGAAAGATCGGTGGAAAAACTCAGCCCAAGGTACTTGACATTAGATGTATTTCCAACCTCTGTGCCGTCAATGATAGTGGGGCCATGTGAGCTAACTAGTCGTTGTAGGTCACATTTACGTCTGAAAGTGAAATTGACTACCTGACATTTAGACGGATTAAGCTTAAGTCCGTTTGAAGAGGACCACTGACTAATTTCCGACAGAAAGTTATTTAATTTGGAACAATCTGACTGAGAGTTGGTTGACAGGCATAGAAACAGAGAGGTCATCGGCATACTTAACAAAAGTGGCTACATCAGAATGGGGAAAGTCATGTAAGAAAAACGAAAACAGAAAAGGAGAGAGAACAGCACCTTGAGGAACACCAGCTAAATTAAGTGAGGTAGTGGAGGACTTTCCATTGTAGACGGTGTACTGCTTCCTATCAGAAAAATAGGAATGCAACCACTTATTTGTCCAGCTCTCAGCCTGTGTTGCAGCAAGCTTACTTAGCAAGAGAGACCTGGGAACAGAGTCAAATGCAGATGTGTAATCAAGGAAGGCACAGCGAACGTATTTAGCTCCTTTATCTAAACTAGAGACTATACTATGATGTAGAACAACAGCGGCATCTAACGTACACCTACTATGTTTATAAGCAAACTGGTTCGGGTCGTTGAAAGGCTTTAAAGAGGGATCAAGATTAAGTAAAATAAGTCTTTCTATAACTTTCAAAAAAGTGAGGTAATAGCAATGGGTCTAAACTTAACATTAGGTCCACTTGTTGATTTAGGCACTGGAACGATCTTGATATTTTTCCATGATTCAAGTATAATACTTTTGGAAAACGTTTCGTTAAAAAATGCCAGTTAATGGGGAACACCTGTGATGATGAGTCGCAAAAAGGGATAAAAATTCAAATTCTTAAATTAAACTGGACATGACATCCACTTCATCACTCATATCACTACATACAGACAACCACGGACATCAATTCGACTGGGACAACCTACGTTCAAATATTAGACAGAGGAAACACCAAGAATGCTAGAGAATGGTTTTAGAAGCCAGGCATTCCAGTGAATCATCAATCGATAGACACATCGAGATAGACTAAATTTATCAACCGATATGAAAGAAACCTCACACACACACAAAGGGTCAAAGTTCAAGTCAAGGAAACAATCACTTCCAATACAAGTAGCTGTTAAGAATGTGTGAAAACACACAAAATCAACCAATCACGATGTTCATGGTGGTCACCAGGAGAGATGATTAATAAATAAACTCGTGGAGAAATCTAAAAGCTCACTTCAATTCGAATTGAAGTATGCGCTGAAGATGTCGCCTAGCAGGGCAATGAAAGCTTCGCAAATCAACTATCCAGCTCACAGAACACAACCACATCAAAAACTGTAAGTCACCACCCACCACCAAATAACACTACCTCGTACTTAGTTAGACGGAACAATAACATACAGTAACATAACGAAAATGTGTGTTATTTATATTGAGATAATCAATCCATAAATTATGAAAAAAATGCGAATGTAAGTAGGCGATAAATTCAACGTGATATCAACAAATACCTTAATTTATATACATAAATTTACAAATAAATGATTAATACAAACTAATCATAGAGACTTGTCAATTCGAAGGACAATAAGATTGTGCACGTATAAATTGTGCACCATCAGTCATAATAATAGTCGTATTTTTAAGTATTGATTTGTAGGGATTTGATTGATTGGTTACAGGATTTCTCCGTGAGCCAATATCGGTTGGAAATACCTGTAAATACTGGACGGCTATTTCTTCCTACTTTGGGACCTTATTACGCTGGATGTTAAAGGTTGTCAGCAGGGTAAGCAATGTGCCACCTAACCAGCTTGTTAATATTCCAGTCAACAGGCACTTCGACTCATGTGAAAAATGAACTAAATCCATCCTGTCTAACTCACACCACCAACCTCTTCATTCACAACTCTCCCTTGTATCTCATCAAGCCAGACCAAACCAGAAGCCTATATAGAAAACTATATGCTCGCACTACCAAGTACAAAAACCCAACCATACCCTACTTAGCTCGTGTTCTGTATGATAGAGAAAGCATTAGGCATGATTTTATTTTTTTTATTATTATTGCTCCCTTGGGTTCCTAGTGGAACATAGGGCTTCAACTGCATGTCTCCATTTGCTTCTGTCTTCTGCTATACTTTTCGCCTGCATTCATGTTAATCCATCTTCTTTCAACTCCTCTTCACACGATCTCCTCCATGTCACACTTGCACTGACGTCCCACACGCCGCTTCCCTTTAGGGTTCCACTCGAGGGCTTGGCGCACGATGTCACCCAGCGGTCTCCTCAGCGAGTGTCCAATCCATCTCCACTTTCTCCTGCATATTTGTTGGGCGATTGGTTCTTGCTTTGTTTGTTCCCATAATTCCTTGTTGGTGATTCTTTCCGGCCATCTGATCTTCAGTATTGAGCGAAGACAGTTGTTAATAAAGGTCTGCAGCCTTTTGGAAATGTACCTTGTGACCCGCCAAGTTTCTGATCCGTATAGAAGAACTGACTTTACGTTTGTATTGAAAATCCGAGCGAATTTTGTTGGTGATGCTGAGTGACGAAGATTTCCAGATTGATTTCAGGCTGATGAATGTGTTTCTTGCCTTCCCGATTCTCGATTTGACATCCTCGTCCGCTCCTCCTGTAGTTGAGACAATGCTCAATGCTGGATAAGTGAATGAAGTAACCTCTTTCAAATCCCTCCCGTTGATGGTGATTGACGTTGGATGTTGTTGCTGTTGTTGGTTGGTTATTTTCATAACCTACGTCTTGTCTATGTTTACCTGGATGGAGTCCTGTCTTCTATGGTTGCTTCTTCGACCAGTTTGTCGGTTTTCGCTTGTAAGTCTTCGATTGTGTGTGACATCAAACATAAGTCATCCGCGAAATCCAGGTCTTCTAGGTTCTTCATGTCGGTCCAGGATATTCCTGTCTCCTCGTTTCCCATAGTCTGACGCAGGCATGATACTTATAACTTATTAAATAGTCAGTAGAACAAATGGATCTCGTCTTTCCAACCCATATCGTTTATAGGTACAACGTTTTCTTTCTTTCTTTTCCTTTTCTCTCTCTTTTTTCTCTGTTATGTGCTGCTTTGTTTCTTTCTTCCTTACAAACTCTACTTAAAACATTCTTCTTCGTTCTTTCACACTCTGTATATCTCGACCTCTTTGTTACCGCTTTCACCAGTAAATATGCTAGTATCTACTTTTCTGACATCTTCAAATACTCTGTTCACTTTTGGCTTTGCTATCGACATCCCAATATGTTGTTGTTAAAACTAACTGAGACCATCCATAATCTATGTACTAACTGGATGCAATACTGTAGTAAAATGCTGAGAATTCCATTCTGCATCACATGTACTGTTTTGGAATAAAGAAAATTATTATTATTATTATTAGGAGTACGCACCCATAATCTTAAGGTTACAAGGCAATGGCTTGTAGACCATTAAGCCACTGGGACCCGATCCAATGGCCAGTGCATGAATTCCAACTTCTGGCCATTCATGACTAAGATGAAGTGCAGCGATTTGTAGCAATAAGAATAGTGAAAAGTGACATGATTAAACAAATAAATATTCAGATTGATAAAGCAGATAAAGGCTAAGAAAACAAAGAATCAAATAAAGTCTGATGATGAAAACAACATTGTTCACTATAATGTAATATTCTAAATTTTATTATAGGGTTGTCAACGGACGCGAACATTAAACATTTGTTTATTGGAACTGGTAGCCATTGGCGGGCAAATCGAAGGCGCGTACGATTCAATCGTGTACAAGTTGGAAGATGACGAAAGGATACGAATAAAAGTACATTAAGTATTCATTTGTAAGACATTTATTTATAGACTTTGTACAGAGTATTGATTTTAACTGCCGAAGAATATAAATTCTTATTGGTCCTGGTGTTTTGGAGTTACGGTCAATAATCGGACCTAGTACAATTGTCGATTCAGAGCGTCTTCGCAAATAATAGGAGCTCAGGGTTAAGTTTCTTGACAGGGGATTTTACTTGCATCTTCCGAAAATATAGAGCTTTCACCAAATACCGGATTTACTAATGGTTAGACGAACTTAAGAAGTGCGACGGCCGGGAATCGAACCACGACCACATCGATAGTTGGTTAGTATTCCAAAGACTGAACCACAGATGTACTTCGCAGAAATGAGCACTTACTTGAAGCGTATCTGATTCGCATGAATACATCATCCATTCGTGGACAATAAAATGTGCAGAGTGAGGAGAAATATTCGCCACTAATGACACTGGCTAGTGATCGTGCTAAAGTCACGAATCAGGAGAAGTTCAAATTCATGAGTCAATGGATCGATTCACAGTAGTTGGATAGCCTACAAGCTTGCCTTGTAAGCGTAACGTCCTGGGGGCGGGGTGTTCGAACCCTAAAGGATGAGTTTGTACTGCCGATAAGTTCCAAAAACTAAGACGAAACAGCTGTCTAATACTCTCGCTCTCTTTGTTGGTTTCCAATTATTTCTAAGTGATATCAATCTGTGATAAGATTTGAAATAAATCATTTACTCCAGAAATAGGCGTTTATCATAAACATATGAAAAAGGGACAAATTAATGGAGAAGTAAAAATAAGTAAAATGTATACTACCTGAGGTAATTTGATAATGAATTCATGAGCATTGGCCAATTTCGCTGCTTCTATAATATCGTCATCACTACATACAGTGTCTTTTAAACACCCTAAACGTATATTCTCTGATATTGTTCCTGAGAATAAAATTGGCTCTTGTTGTACAATTCCAATGAGTGAACGAAGCCAACTGACATTCAGTGTAGAAATGTCTGCATCATCGAAAAGTATCTAAAAGTTGTAAGGCATAGGGAAATTATCACTACTATTAAAGATGAAACCTTGTTACATAATGGGAGCCAGGAGATGAGCAACATAACAGTAATAAAACAACAATACATATATATAAAGAAGATAAAGACAGGATGAATGAGGTGTAATGACAGAAGACAAGGGCCAGACACCGAACGGATCATTTATTTGAGAAAATCAAAAGATATTTATAGATTTTTATATACATTATTATTAGCGTTATTGTTAGCAGAGAAACAGCGTCTTCTGATTGGTTGTTTTTTCGCTGAAATTCAATTTGTCATCTCTTAGCGGCCATTTCTTTGAAGGTCAGACCATCTACCTGCGAATCGTACCCGCCCACGCTAAGTCTGCTGTGAGTGGTTGTTGAGCTAGTCTTTGTTTTTATTTTTTTTCTTCTCATGACCAAGATTTGGGCCGTAAACACTGACATAAATTTCTGTCCATCAATTTCGACAAGCAGACAGCTCTCACCACAGAGGGACTGATTCGAATTATTTCTCGAACTTCACACACACACACAAGTAGTCGTGATGTTCCAACGGATGTTGACTTAAATAGCAAATAACGAACGATAATGAAGCCCCTCTGGAATGAAAGTTATAGTAAATGTCAAAGTTAAAGAAGACGCTTTTTGAAGATGACCACTAAATTTCCGAACACTATGCAAAACCTTAAAAATACTTACATAATGGCGCCACCGAAGGTAAGTAATTACACGAAGATAGCGATGATCGAATACTTTAAGTTACTCATGGAGAAATGATGTAACAATAATACAATCACATAATGAAAATCAAATGCGAAATTTTCATCGTGAACCTTTATAGAGGTCATTATTGATTAGCTTAGGTGGTTTGCAATCACCTATTTCACAAGTACAATGCAGAAGGTACTATATTATATGCAATGTATAACAGTGCACTATGCACTACATCAAATAAATAATGTTACATTAAAACTGTACAAAGATACACAGCGCTGAAGTTTAACCCTTATACCTGAGATAGATTAAATTCAAATTAGCACGTGCTATGTTACATTTTAATTGAACATGTATATCATTTGAGATCGAATTGTTGATATTTACAACGGATATTTTAAATTCTGGTAAATATTTTGGTTGCCCGTAGTAAGTGTGAAATCGAATGCCAATAAAGCAGTAGATTTAACTTGTGAAAAGGCAAATATATAATCCTTAAGGCCAAGTTAAACTTTAAGCACCACTAACTACCAATCAGCGAATGACCTCGAATGTTCCAATGAGGTTAATGCACGCGAGTTCACGGTTGTATAGCGCTTGATTCGTATCAAAATAAGTTACGTTTGGAGTTAGATGAGGAAAAGGTTTTGCAATATTGCATGGGTTTGGGATTGCTTAGGAAGGAGAGATATCACCTCATGGAAAATGGAGAGAATTACTTCGTTGTTAGGCGGAGAAGGTATCGTCATACACCTGGACGAAACTGTGTTACTGAAGAAAAAATACAACCATGTCGTGAGCGACCCAACAATGTTTGGGTGATCGGTTTATATGACACCTTACTGCGGAAAGGATTCATGGAGAGAATACCAGACAGAAATTCTACTACCTTAGTACCTAATGTCACTCGACTTGTGAAAAAGGGATCCATTGTACATGCTGTTGAATGGAAAGGTTATAACTCGCTGTCATCTCTTGGATATGTCCATCACAGAGTGAACCATTCTAAGGATTTTGTGGATCCAGTTACACAGACACACACGACTTATATAGAAGGATTTTGGGGAAGATTAAAAAATACGATTAGGGCTATAAATGGATCTCATTTATAGCCATTTGGATGAATACATGTGTAAAGAATGTGGTGTGACTTTTTATTGACTCTCCTATGCTAAACTGGGAGATGCTAGAGAAAGATGCCCTATGTAACAGTTTTATACAGTTTTTATACTTTTTTCATAAATATAGGTTTTCCTTAATCAAAAGTCGTTCTTTCTTCTGGTTGGTCCATTGAAGGTCGTTCGCTGATTGGTAGTTACCGGTGCTTAAAGTTTAACTTCGCCATCTTTAAATGTAGGAGTAGCTAGCATTTCAAAGGTTTTTCTGTGTTCTGACGTTTCTGCAGTGATCGAAGTTAATCTTCCAGGCTAGGTTAGCCGACTCTACTGCCAGACTTCTTTCTTTCTCCGGAACTAGCCAGCGTGCTGGACGAGAAGCAAGCTTTAGTAACAACTTCCCTCTACTCATATCCGCTAATAGGATTACAGGCAAGTTTCTACATCGATAATAATCTTACTATTATTGATTTTTTGTAAAAAAAACAGACATTGTACTTACCCTCAATTTTCTATTCTATTCACCTATATAATGAATTATGTCACAGTGATTATTTGTTTTTGTAGGTGGCACAACGGTGGAATGCACGCCAATCAACCCCCATGTGGTTCGGGGTTCATCCCCGGCCACCAACGCACTCGTTTACCTCGCTCACTAAGCCCATAATACGACTGGTAAGAGAGAATGTTGGCCATGAGGCTAGCAACCCCATCCCTTAAAAATAATCATCACTGCTACCAAAAACTTCAAGCCTCTGACTAGAAGACCTATGTTTTTCACTGGGAACGTAAAGGAATTAGAAAACAAAGATTACTTGTTTGTTTTAGCACTCAGGTGCCTTTATACACGACTTGGTACGGCCGAGGGTGGATAAACATCAGTGTTTCATACAAATGCTGCTATTTGGTGTCACGTTCACAGCCTCCGGGAATCAAGTCCTACTGACTGCCTACGCACGTCAGGCAGAAGTGTTCCTCACAAAAAAGAAACAATAAGTGCAAATGTTTGGTACATAAGGTTGGATCTACTTATATGAGCTGAGAGACGGTGATTCTGAACCTATACTGTACTTTACTTGGCCTCCAGAGTCCCAACAAATAGAGTGGCTCATGAACCCGTTAATTTGAACACCGGTAACTGTGGGGAAGTACGTCCACACGCCAGCTACTTGCTTCAATCTCGGGGGGGGGGGCAGCTAGTATCCTAGTTCTATGAGAGTCCTTACGTAGAATTCTCAATGAGGCTGGAATAAGGGTGGCATTTAAACCAACCAACCAACTCTCTCAGAGGTAAACTTTGTCAGCTTAACGACCCATTAGATCCAATTAAGAAAAATAATATAATCTACTAAATACCATGTAATGACTCTCATTGAGGCCACTTACATAGATCATACTAGTAGATCGGAGTCAACTGGATTATGGGAATATATAAATTAAGCTAGACCTAGAATGATCGACCCTGCAAAGTTAAATAACGTAGAAAAAAAACAGAGCTCAGCCAATGCATTGCATTCACTTGCGTGTAGTCTCACACAACAGTTTGACTGGGACGGGGTGAAATTACTAAAAGGGTAATATAATTAGGCGAAGATAGAGAGAGGTTAATCACTACATCTCTGTTTATACCGCACCCGTCCAATCGAAATGATGCAACACGCCTTTACCGGAGATATAGAGAATGACAACATGCAAGAAAGGGAATTTAGAGAGAGAGAGAGAAAATATATGTATAAAACAAAGTGTGACTAAATTAATGTGATTATGAGCAATAATTTTTGCTCAAAACGTTATTCACTTGTTAATACTGCATCACTGTGTAATATTTGATGTAAACTTATCTAATTTGGCATTACATTCTACCACAGTGTCGAATTTCTACACGGACATTAATAGTATTCCAGTTCTCACAAAACCTATACGATTTTATGTGTCTCACATCTCTTGGTACTCATAGTGTACCAAGTTTGTTTTGTAATAATAACAGTACTCGGGTGGAACAGCCAACGAAAACACTATGGAATAGAGTGAAATCTCTAGCTTCGATTGATGGCAGCTAGCATGTCGCACTATCTGGGGGACTCATCAGTTTAGTGTACCAGCATCCATCACTCACCAGGGGTTCAGGAGACGACCAGATCTGACGTGAAAACGCAGCCAGATTGAAAACAGAACAACTGTCCATTCCTCTCTAGATCTTAACGATTCTCTCCTAGCTGAAGTGAATTCGTAACCAATCTAGAAAATAATTCTTGCTGATTTTGATTTTTAGTCGACATCTGAACTCATAAAAAGGTAGGCTGATCCCAAGAATGAATCACACGGGAAAAAAATAGTTTGTGACTATTTCTCTAAAGGAGATCGAGTTGACAACTTATTCCGCGGTGAATTACAAAAATTTTTTTGACGTGATTGTGTTCTCTGAGCTGGATGGTTGATTTGCGAAGCCTTCATCGCCCTACTAGGCGACATCCTCACCTCAACGCATACTTCAATTTGTTGAAGTGAGCTTCTAGATTTCTCCACGAGTTTATTACTCATCTCTCCTGGTGGACCACCTTGGACGTCGTGATTGGTTGTTTTTGTGTGTTTTCACATATTCTAAACAGCTACTTGTATTGGAAGTGATTGTTTCCTTGACTTGAACTTTGACCCTTTGTGTGTATGAGGTTTCTTTCATATCGGTTGATAAATTTTGTCTATCTCGATGTGTCTATTGACTGATGATTCACTGGAATACCAGACTGGCTGTCTAATATTTGAACGTTTGTTCTCCCAGTCGAATTGATGTCAGTGGTTGTCTGTATGTAGTGATATGAGAGATGAAGTGGATGTCATGTCTTTTGACGGATGGCTTATGTTCATGGATACGAAGACGAAGGGGACGTCGTCCACTTTGGCCAATGTACTGTTTTTCGCAGTTGTTACAATTTATTCTGTAGATGATGTTGGTTTTATCTTCTTTCGCTGTTCAGTCTTTTTGTTGACACAGAATTGAGTGAAGTGACTTTGTTGGTTTGTGTACGACGTCAATTCCTAAAGGTTTGAAGAGTATTATAGTGATTTCTGAAATATGCTTTTATATGGTAGGGCGATTTTCTTTGTGCTTTCCTTGGGGACTTTTGGTTTGGTAGGTTGGTTTGGGGGTATATGTCTCTTGATGATATTCTGCGGATATCCATTCTTTTGGAGGACGTCTATGAGATATTTTTCTTCAATTTTCCTTAAGTCGGGAGTGCTGCAATGAGTCCTTGTCCTCTTGAATAATGTTTGTATACAATTCTTTTTGTTTGTTATTGGATTGATGCTGTTGTAATTCAGTATTTGGTCTGTGTGCGTTGATTTTCTATAAACTTGAGTTTCTAATTCCCCTGTAGTTGTTCGCATGACTAAGACGTCCAAAACTGGGATTTGGTTCTCGGATTCCTCTTCTCTTTAGAATTTGATGTCGTTGAAGACGTTGTTTATTAAGTTGTGAGTTTCATCTAACTTGTTTCTTTTGATTATGACAAATGTGTCGTCTACGAAACCTATCCAAATCTTGGGTTTGATCTTTGGTACGATTATGTTTTCGAGTCTTCGCATCACTGCTTCTGCAATCAAACCTGATATTGGCGATCCCATAGGTGTTCCTTTGACTTGTTCATATATTTGGCTGTTGAATTGGAAGTACGTTGTTAGGCATAGGTTTATGCATTCCATCCAGCTTGTGGGTTGCATTTTTGATTGTTGTGGAAGGTGTTCGTCGTTGCTAAGTAATTGCTCCATGGTTTCTTTTGCTAGTTTTTGTCCGATTGACGTATATAATGCTGTGAGGTCGAAGAATATCATTATTTTTTGTCCATCTATTTGGATGCCTCTGATTTCCCCTCAAATTGGATAGCAGAAATGGTGGATTGATCACAAGATTCTGTTAGGTGTTTCAGTTTTCTGTATAATTCTTTATGCGTCGGTGGCACAGTGGTTAGGACTCTCGCCGACCATCCACATGGTCCGGGGTTCGAGCCCGCACCGACGCACACCTGATATCTATGGTCGGCTTGCAAAATTTGGGCTACCGATATCCATGCTGAAAATTCCATACTTGTACCGAAAATACAGTGCGGAATCAAGCTGTAAATCAAAAAAAATCCTATATATTATATGTTGGAGTTCCTGGGAGTCATAGAATTGGTCGTAACGGGATATTTGGCTTGTGTATTGTGGGTCTGCCGTAGAATCAGAGTAGGACTCATCCGTTGGATTTCATTCGCCATTGATCTTGTTTTGGTGAGCTTGTTTAAGGTAATTCTGATGCGGTGGGATTTGTTGGGAGTTCTTGATATACCTCCTCATCCTTGAGTAGTTCTTCAGCTTTCTTGGTATATTCTTCTCTGTCCATAACTACTGTTGTTCTTCCTTTGTCAACTGGTAGAATGACGATGTCCTTCCTATTTTTCAGCTTTTTCACGGCCTTTAGTTCTTGAGAGTTGAGTTGTGTGTATGTGTTTTGGTTTTTCTGTTTAACCACTGATACAATTACATAAATCTTTCTGCCTTTTTCTTAATTTATGCATTTTACATAAAAAAGGATGGTATGTCTCCATTTATTGAGAAAGTAATCATAAACATTTTCACAAAAAAGCATGAATATACCACTCTCTCTCTCTCTCTCTCACACACACACACACACACAAACATAGGAAAGTTAATATGAACCAACCAACTTAAGGTCACTTTTACAAAGAATGGTCTTCCAAAAATTAGCTCAATAGACTCATGAAGAAAGACAAGTTGAGAAGAAGAAAGAAGTCTATAATGTTATGTAGAAATCAATAAATATATATGCATACCTGTCCACTGTCTGGATCATAAAATCTTTCCAGTAATTGAGTTATTGTCGTTTTACCACATCCACTAGAGCCAACTAAAGCTGTGGTTTGTTTTGCTTCTATAGTTAAATTAAGGTTTTTAAACACCTACAACAATAGTAATAATAATAATCATAATAATGAGTTAAAACAAGCGACATAGAAGAGAATTATTGATTCTAAAAATCCAAACAGCATTTATTCACCGTGCCCTGTTCAAAATAGAATGTTATACAAACTTTGCCCAAACTGTCACATATGATATCTCATGGAAAATTCCCATTATAACATTTAGAAAAGCAAAACAAGCCGTACAGTCATATATATATATGGTTTTTAAGAAGTTATATTCAGTGAAGAAATTGAATCATAGGTGTGAATGTTTGGTTGCCATCCTGCAATAAAATTGACACTCGAAATGGAGAACGAGTCTAGCATTCATTCCCTCGATGTGAACTTATTAGGGAGGACCGATGGAACTCTGAAGAGATTGATTTATCAAAAGCTGTCATGGAATGGTCAACTGAAGCATTTATACAACTGGGTACCCATTGGTCGAAAACAAAATCTGGTCCGTTCGCTTGCCACTCAAATCCGAAGCATATGCAGCCCTGATACTGCGGAAGATGAGTTATATCTTTTGAGGAAAATTCTAGTAGAAAATGGATTTCCACCACGTTTTATAGATAAGAATATACATTCAAATCCTATAAAAAGTGACTTATCATCCTCACCCGAGAAAATACTGTACATGGGCTTGGAATTCAAAGGGGACTTAGCTTCCGATATCATGAAACGAAGGATATCACAGTCCCTGAAAAGAACATTTCCGGCTACATCTCTGAGAATAGTCTATACTAGTCGACCATTACTGTTCAATAACCTGAAGGGCAAGATCCCGCTGTTGACCAACTCTGTGTGTGTTTATCAATTCACCTCCTCTTGTGAAGTTAGGCATATTGGTCTTTCGACTCGAGTTTTATCCAAGAGTATGCAAGTACACTATCCTGCATGGTTACAAAGAGGTGGAAGTGAAGCAATAAGAAGCGAAGAAAATTTTCTTTTCAACGAAATCATCAACTAGATAGCTGTGCATTTGTGTATTTATATCAAACGGATGGGAAAGTTCCAGAATAATTTCTGGTCAAGGGTCAGATTAATCAAATTACAATTAGGAATCAAAATGCTATAATAAACAGGGGAACGGATAAAGCTCAGGCAAAGTAGCATCATAATTACTGAGAAGATTGATACATTGTGCAATTAAGGGTTAGAAATGTAGAAATAACAACAATAGACAGGATGTTTGGATAAAAAAAGCAATGAAATGGTCATTATTCAAAGAATTACCTGTTTATGATGGCCATGGCAGGGACAAGGGTTGGACGTATCCAAAAGGTCAAACCCATGCTATGTCTTCAAAAGAAATACGTCCAACCCCTTTCCCTGCCGTGGCCATCATAAACAGGTAATTTTTTCAGTAATGACCATCCTATAGCCTTTCTTATCTAAACTTTTAATAGTAACTATCGCATCGACTTTCTTATCCAAACTTCCTGTTTATTCATGTTATTTCTAAGTTTTTCTCAATCCCTGTTTACACTACCATATTTTCATATCCAAACTTCCTGCCTATTTTGTCGTGTTATTATTTCTGCATATTTAATCCCTAACTGCATAAACAATTATTCGTCACATTAGTTATGATCCCACTAGATTTTGTTATCCAAACATCCTGTCTATTGTTGTTATTTCTACAGTTCTAACCCCCCAATTGCACAATCAGTGTCAATCTTCACAGTAATTATGAAGCCACTTTGTTTGAGTTTTATCCACCCCACCCTGTTTATTATGGCATTTTAATTCCTAATTGTAATTTTATTAATTTGCCCCTTGACCGGAAGTTATTGTTAGACTTTCCTACCTATTAATTATAAAAATACACGAATGTACAGCCTAGTTGACGATGACTTCGTCGAAAAGTAAATTTTTCTTCTCTGCAACCGTCTTTTTATTTCCCATGGTCACACTAATAATTCAGTAGTATAAGCCGCCATGTTTAAAAAGCTTAAAAGGGGTACAAAATCATTTAACATTGAAATTATAAGAAAATATGCGAAATGGATTAAAATTTTAAAAAACAACAACAAACAAACAAACAAACCGAAAATAACAACAAAAAAAAAGATACGTACAGATTTTTCACGACGTGATGGATACGAAAATGTAACATTTTTAAATGTTATTTTGCCGGTGAAATTATTAAGTTTTTCTCCTGACGATGTTTTATCCACTAAAGGTTTCTATAGTGAAAAAGAAGAAATATAAGTAGAATTTTTAAAAATGAAATTATCAAGAAAAATGCCTTGCCTACAGCGTAAGGAATAATAATAATATCAATAATACCATAAACATATTCATAAACATTACAGAATTTTCAGATAATAATAATAAATTGCTTTATTCCAAAACAGTACTGGTGATACAGAATGGAATTCTCAGCATTTTACTACAATATTGCATCCAGTTTGTACATTAACAATAAATAAAGTTCTACATAGAATATGGGTAGTCTAAGTTAATTGTGACAACAACATATTAGCATATCGGTAGCAAAGCCAAAATTGAACAGAATGTTTGAAGGTGTTAGAGAAAGGTAGACACTAGCATATTTACTGGCGTAAGCAATAGCAAAAATGGTCGAGGTATACAGAGTGTGAAAGAACGAAGAAGAAGAATGTTTTAAGTAGAATTTGTAGGAAAGAGAGAAACAAAACAGCACATAACAGGAAAAAAGAGAGAGAAAAGGAAAAGAAAGTGAGAAAACGTTGTACCTATAAATGATATGAGTTGGAAAGACGAGATCCATTTGTTCTACTGACTATTTAATGAGTAATAGGTATCAGGCCTAATGCTTTCTTTATCGCACAGAACACGAGCTAAGTAGGGTATGGTTGAGCTTTTGTATTTGCTAGTGTGAGCATATAGTTTTTTACATAGGCTTCTGGTCCTGACTGATGAGATACAAAGGGAGAGTTGTGAATGAAGAGGGTGGTGGTGTGAGTTAGATAGAATGGATTGATTTAGCCCATTTTTCACCTGAGTCCAAGTGCCTGTCGACCAGAATATTAACAAGCTGGTTAAGTGGTACGCTGCTTACCGCGCTGAAAACCTTTAACATCCTGCATAATAAGATATAGTCTTTCCTCAGTAGCCCTGGAAAAATTGCTTTAATGTACTCCTTATACAGAAACTTCAAGAAAAACTCGACTCCGTCGTGTTTTGTCTGCACTATCCTCCGATCCCCAACGTATTGGTCCCTTGAAAACAACGCAAGCAGTACGACGAAAACTATTGAAAAATGCGGGGGGAGGGGATTGTTCATCAAGAATATAAATAGGTGATTAAAATAAAGTACAACTGAGTAAATTTGTGGCATTTTTTTTCTGTAGAAAATTAGGTATTTTGAGAATTTAATGAGATCGTACGAATCAGTGGATTTTCAAATTTTAGAAGGTAATTTATAATAATTGTAGGCAATAAAATCCATTTTGGAGGAATTAAATTTTTTTTCAGTTTAGAGACTTAAGAATAATTAGCAGTAGCAACAGCAGCGGTAACATCTACAACTGTTTATTCTTGAAGTAATTTCGGTGGATGGTGAGTAGTAGTAGTAGTGGAATCCGGCATGCGCATTTCGTCCCATTTTGGACTCGTCATGTTAGATGCTCAGACATCGTCGAAGCACCCGCGAAACCAGGCAACACCAGGCAACTCTTTAGACTCATCAGGGAAACGGGTGGGAGAAGACAAATCATCAGTGAGACAATCTCGGAAAAAAATGGCACTATAATTAGCTCACAGGATAGACGACTGGATCGTTGGAAAGAGCATTATGAGGAGCAGTTTAATTTGCCCACAGCCACGCTCAACCTTCCGAGCATCCAACACCTCCCTGAATGGGATATAGATACAGGTCCTCCGTCACTAACTGAGGTTACTAAAGCTGTCACCAATCTGAAACTAGGCAAAGCAGCGGGACCTGATGGAATGACTCCAGAGGTATTTAAGTACGGTGGAGACAGCTTACTGTCCGGATTAACTGAGGTACTAGGCAGCGTCTGGGAATCAGAAGAAGTCCCATCGGGTTGGTGTAAGTCACTGATTATCCCCATATACAAGAAGGGAGACAAGTCTTCCTGTGATAATCACAGAGGGATTAGCTTGACTAATATAGTATCTAAAGTCTTAGGCTCAATAATCATGCGTAGACTGAGTGGTGCTCGGGAAGCACAAACACGAGAGAGCCAGGCAGGCTTTAGACCAGGAAGAGGGTGTATTGATCATATCTTCACCCTCCGACAGATTCTAGAACATAGGCATTCCTACCGGCGTCCAACAGTCATTATATTTCTTGACCTAAAGGCAGCATTCGACTCTGTCGATCGGGAAGTTCTCTGGAGATGCTTGGCTGTAAAGGGAATTCCAAGAAAATATATTGCACTGATTAAGGCACTCTACTCGTACTCATACAGCCAGGTGAGGGCTTACGGCGAGCTGTCATCTGAACTGATGACGACCAGTGGTGTCCGTCAAGGATGCCCATTATCTCCTTTTCTATTCAACTTCATCATAGATGTGTTAATGGACTTAACCCTAGGTGACTTCAGCGACTCAGGGATTGACTTGCTACCGGGTAATAATCTCGTTGACTTGGAATATGCAGACGATATAGTCCTTCTAGGCGAAGACGCTGACGAAATGCAGAGTCTTCTAAACACCTTGAGCCGCAATCTACGAATGTTTGGCATGCGATTCGCTCCCGCCAAATGCAAGATGATGTTACAGGACTGGACTACATCGACGCCTAGTTTAAAAATAGGAAGTGAAGTGGTAGAGCACGTTGACCGCTTCACTTATTTGGGAAGTACCATCAGCCCCAACGGGCTGATCTCTGACGAAATCTCAGCACGAATACAAGGGGCTCGTTTCGCATTTGTTAGTTTACGCCGACTCTGGCGTAGACGAGATGTTCGACTATCGACCAAAGGGCGGGTGTACTGCTCATCAGTCCGCTCCGTCCTCCTTTATGGTTGTGAGACCTGGCCACTGAGAGTGGAAGACATGAAAAGACTAGCTGTCTTTGATCATAGGTGCCTGCGTTCTATTTCCCGTGTAAAGTGGCATAATAAGGTGAGCAACATGGAGGTTAGGCGTAGAGTTCTAGGTAAACAGGGGAAATCAATCGACGAAGTCGTGAAGCTACATCGACTGAGATGGTTAGGACATGTGTTACGTATGCCAAGCCATCGCCTCCCTCGACGAGCTATGTTAGCGGATATAGGGTCAGGCTGGAAAAAAGCTAGCGGCGGTCAAACAAAAACTTGGCATCAGTCAATGAAATCCACAACAGTTGGTCTAAGCCACGTAGGAAGGTGTAGACTTCCAGGCTGGGGTCCTCGGGACGGTAAAAATCTATGGTTGGAAACAATTGGTGACATGGCTCAAAATCGTTCTCAGTGGCGCAGATGCATCCACTCCCTGTGACTTATGATCTCCAATGAAACTGTTTTGTATTTCTTTATTACTCCTTTGTCTCACACCTCTGCTCACTGTTTCTATTATGCTTTTCTTGTACTTTCTTCTCTTGCTTCGCGTGCTACACGGAATGTGGCGACTTGAACTTCCGCACATTTGTGCAAAGTTCTATGTCGAAAACAGACAGACAGACCAGCGAAACCAGCTAAGAGGTGAAGAGAAACCGAGCACTTCGGTCAAATCAATCGACGGGAAAGTACAAATTGAATAAGAGAAATATAACTGTTCTTCTAATGAAGTTAATCTACACGGTTGTTCTCCTCTTCAATATAAGGTGGTTCGAGTTGAATTTGAAACCTCCAATCGTTTGGGTATGTGTATATGATAAATAGGTGATTGACCAAGACAAAGTAGATGGAATAAAGTTTAAATATGTAAATCTATTTGTCGTTTAAGTCGATAGTTTATGCTTAGAAAAAATGCAACACTCCAACTTCTCATAAATGAGTTTACTACGCGACGAAGACTTTAGTTACACACACCAAGAATCTTTACTTACAATCAATGCAGCTGGTATAAAGTTAGGCTGGATAAAGAGACAAAGACAAGATCATACGATAACCTGATTTTAGTTCATGAAGTCTTTGACAGCTGATATGAGCCACGTAGAGAAGTGTTCACCACCTGGTTGGCATGCTGGTCATCTGAGCGAAACACCTTACTGCGGCTGTTACATCCCTGTTCCCCAGCAGTACGACTTCACCCACAGACCCCCAGCATAGTGTAAAAACATAAATCTTATACTATTCCGGTAACTGCTTTTAGTCTAATCGCTAACCTTATTAGTTTGTTTATTGGATATATCCCATAGTGAGTGAAACAGTATTATTTACTGGGTGCCTTTCGAACAAAATTTATTGTTTATAATCATATGAATTGTAATTGCACAAGTTGAAATTTGAGTTTTCTGGGTTTTCTTTGTTCTCTTCTATTTGTCGTATGGGTAGTAGAATTTTCCGAACAAGTAGTAATTGACTCAACTCACAGTCATTGCAGGGTATTTTGTAAACTATATTGTTTTGCCTTAATTGAATCAAATGACAGGGTAATTTAACCTACAAAGCTTGTCCCTGCTTAAGTGAGTTTGTAGGTTTGAATGCCACCGCTCTAATTCCTGCTTTATTTAAGAATCCTATGTAAGGTCTCAGATGTCGCCTCCTTATATGGTATGACAGTGGATGACTTATATTCTCTCTTATTTATGTTATCATTATTAGTCTCGCCATTTTTTATTTTGCATTTGACCTTTTTTGATATTACTGTGTGATTTATTAAAATAAAATCTTACTCATTAATGAAGTTATGCTCTACCTTCATCACGGTGCCCAAGTTTTATACTTATACCAAAACACTTATTTTTACTGATAATTTCCAGATGGCGTTTCATAGATCTTTGTTGACATGTAAGGTGTCTTAACTTAGTAACTTGACGTTATTTTATTGAATGTTGGTTAGAAGTAGATTTCAGACCTGCTAAAGGATGAGTGCTGAGTTCGAGTCCTAGTGGAGACACTCCCCAGTGCACTACAATATAGGTATATTCATTTAAAATGTCTCAATTAGAATGAACTGTATTATTGACCCGGTGAACCGAAATAAACAAAATAATGTAATTCACAAAATACCTTGCAATTACTGTGAGCTAAGTCAACTACATAGGTTAAACTAGTAAGATTGAGGGTAATCAGATTATCGGAACATAAGA